CGATCGACCTATCACCAGGATTACCATCGGAGAGTGCCTTTTCCCAGACCTTGCCGCCGCCAGACCAAGACAACCGGAGACCAAGTTCTCTGTGATAATCAAGGCCGCTTTGAGCGACATCTTCTTTCTCGGCTGGAATCTCATCGTTCTTGTGATCAAGCTCCGTATCCGATCTTGGATGCAGATTTGGTCACACTCTCGCGATGTCAGCTTGGTCACGATGGAAGGTCTTTTCGGCGGGAGCGACGATGCGTACTTTTGGGACATCTGGCTAGGATGCTACCAGACCGGCCTGAAGGGCCTTCGGGAAATGCTCTCCGTATCCAATGGGCTGATCAAGACGGCTCTCGGTGGGGTTTGGGTTGGCCTCAAGCTGGTCAAAGCGGTCTACAATCGTGCCCTGATCCGTCTCTTGGAGAGGAAAGTACCTGACAATTTGGCGCCCCGCGAGATCAAGTCTTACGAAGACAACGTCCACAACGCTTACTGCGAGGCGTCCACATACAACCACAGCCAGATCGCGCTCCTTTTGCTGCGACAGTGGAAATCCCTCGAAGACATAGCTCGTTTGGAAGCTCAAATCAAGTACATGGAGCAACACTACGACTCCATTAACAGCCGCGAGATTGGCGAGAAGTGTGTTGGCTACCGTGCAACAATCATCGAGCTCGTTCACGACAACAATTACTTCCGTCTTCTGCTCTGCGCCATCTTGAACGCTCTATACAACGAACTCCATGGTCGAAGGCCCAACGATCTCAACGCCAAACATCCTTACCAGCCCAGCCAGCTTGAGTTCCGCGTTAAACCCGACCCGCGCACTGGCTTCTACATGGGTTACAGGGAATACACGGTCCGGGCGGTTAACAAATGGGATCTTGGCCGCGAATACTTGAAGCAGGTTGAAAACTTCGGCATGAAGTACGAGAAGGAGCCCTTCCGTATGTCGATGATTCTTGCCTGGAAGGCCAACGGCCCTGGTAACGTTCCCGACAACTTCGATCCGTTCGTCAAGGATCACTGGGTCTTCTCCGGCGCCATACCTGGTCTCAACATCCCCGTCTACAAGTCTGAGCACAACCCGTTCAACATCCACGAGAAGCGCTTCCCGGTCTACGTCAATCCTGAGGGTCTTTTTGGACCCCAGATCGAGGACTTTGCCGCCAAGGGCCAGCTTGCGCAGTGGGGCGATCCCAAGGCCATGAAGCCCAAGGTTGCTCCTTTCGACGCCGCCGAGCTCCGCAAGTTTACTGCCAAGATGGATTTCGGTACTGCGCCGCTTCGCAAACACAAGATGGCTTCACTGCCCAAGATGCCCGCCTACTCGAGTGATCCGTGCCCGACTGGTGAGCCCAGGACGACGGACTTCCCGCTCTACAGGAGGGACTTTGCCTAGACACGGACAAAGTTCTGACCGAAGATACCAACGAACATGAGAGAAACGATGTCAACGCCACGAATCCTCATCACACACCAGCGCCACTCGAACACCCTGGTAAACACCTACTGAAACTCCCCTCCACCTCGCCTCACCGATCCACTTCAATACCACCACCGCCTATCCTCCCTCTACACAAGACTCAACACTGACAAGGTAGCGGCCCTGTGCCACCTATAGGGTGAGTAGCGCATTCGTGTGCCTCACCGGGTGCCCCACCGCGCCGCTACTAACAAACCCTTCCCGCCCTCTATGGAGTCAAGACATCGAAGCCCAAGCACACACTATGTGTTGTTTGGATTGCCCGACTGTCTTGTTACACCAGCTCCTCACCCTTATCCGATGCAGCAGGTATAGCCCTCTACGGTGCCTGAGTGACTGAACCGGGGTTTACCCCGGGAAGGTCCCGTTCTGAAGGATGGTGGGGTGGGTAGGGTTTGTTTGTGTTGACATGCATGTGCTGGACGGATGGATAAGCGACTGATGGTTGTGATGTGGATGCTGAGATGGTATGGACGCGGGTTAAGTGAGTGTAGAAGGGGTGGATGAGTGATGTAGTGTGAGATGAGGAGGACGTGGTGGCGATGTTGTGGATCTTGGACGCGATGGCATCTTGAGAGTGTTTTCTTTTGTACGATACCCCTTGCTACTGTTGCTTTTGGGCGCCTTTCAGGGCCGGCGTTTGGCGGGTGTTTTGGAGTCTGGCTAGGAAGATACCCACCTGTTTGTATCTTGTACTGAGATTCGCGTTACCACCGCCTAATCAATGAAGTCATCTTACGAGTATCCAAGTTGTTTGTGATGATCGATGACCAGTCTCCATGTTCGTGTGTATGTGTGAATGAAGTTGTGGTGCTGACGGCAGGGCAGGTGCAGCCGCGACTCGAGGTGCCCCTCCATGCCCCACCCAAAGCAGCTCTCAGTGCTCAATTACCTGTTCCTGAGCTGCCAGGCAAGACTACAACAGCCACACCTCCCCGCTAGCCCGCCGACACACCCTACACCCCTCCAACATGCCTCAGGAAGCCTCCAAGATCTCCGACCCCGACGCGACGTCGCAGGCAGCGGCCGAAGCTGTCGCCGAATCGAGCAAGCAGGCAGAAGCCGAATCCGCAGACGAGAGCGGCGACGACGCGACCGAGACGGTGGAAGGCGCAGAGGGCGCGTCGGAAAAGAAGAAGAAGAGCAGGAAGCGCAAGATCAAGGATGCCATCAGCGGCAAAGGCAAGGCTGGCGAGACCACCGACCTGAATGCGCCCGCAGGAAACGTCCTACCCAAGGAAGCGATGAACATGCTGCTCGCGAACAACCCCGGCCTGGCGAATGAACTGCAGGGCAAGGCGAACAACAAGGAAGAACTCGCGCAATTGATCAAGAAGCTCAACATCAACGAGATGCTGACGGGGCTGGCGCCACAGGGCAGCCAAAAGGACATGGCCAGCCACGCTTTCTGGAAGACACAGCCCGTACCCAGCTTCGAGGAGATGGCGAACAAGGAGAAGATCAAGGACGGCCCTATCAAGGAGATCAAGATTGACGAGGTGGACAAGAACCCCAGCCCAATGTACCCTGGCTTTGAGTGGGTGACAATGGACCTGGAGGACGAGAAGCAGCTGGAGGAGGTATACGAGCTGCTCACAAACCACTACGTTGAAGACAAGGATGCGACCTTCCGCTTCAAGTACTCGCCGTCATTCTTGAACTGGTAGGTCATTGGAGAGGGATTGGAGGCTTAGCTAACACAAGCAGGGCCCTGAAAGCGCCAGGCTGGAAGAAGGAATGGCATGTCGGTGTCCGCGCAACCGCCTCAGGCAAGCTCGTCGCATTCATCTCAGGCATCCCGATACAAATGCGCGTTCGCGAGAAGGTCCTCAACTGCTCCGAAGTCAACTTCCTCTGCGTCCACAAGAAGCTCCGCTCCAAGCGTTTAGCACCCGTCCTCATCAAAGAGATTACCCGCCGCTGCTACGTCGAAGGCACATTCCAGGCCGTATACACTGTCGGCTCCCTTCTCCCCACACCTGTCTCAACAGCCCGCTACTTCCACCGCGCCATCGACTGGGAGAAGCTTTACGATGTCGGCTTCTCTCCTCTCCCCCACGGTAGCACCAAACAACGCCAGATCATACGGTACAAACTCCCAGACACCACCTCTACGCCCGGACTTCGCGAGATGGAGGCCAAGGACGTTGACGCAGCTGTTGATCTCCTGAGGCGATACCTGGAGCGCATGGACATGGCACAAGTCTTCAACAAGACCGAATTCGAGCACTGGATGGCGCCGAAGGAGAAGCCTAAGGAGCAAGTCGTGTGGAGCTACGTTGTTGAGGACCCCAACACCCACAAGATCACCGACTACTTCTCCTTCTACAACCTTGAGAGCACTGTCATCGGCAACAAGAAGCACAACACCATCAAGGCGGCATACCTCTTCTACTACGGTTCAGAAGTCGCATTCGACAAGGAAGACAAGGATAAGACAAAGCTCAAGCAGCGACTAAACTTGCTGATGAAGGACGCGTTGATTTTGTCAAAGAAGGTGAGCACCCTACCCTCCAATACATATCTTTACTAACATAACCAGGCCGACTTTGACGTCTTCAACGCGCTTACCCTTCTCGATAACCCGCTGTTCCTGGAGGAGCAACGCTTCGGCGCTGGAGACGGCTCCCTGCATTACTACCTCTACAACTACCGCGCTGCGCCGATATCGGGTGGCATTGATTCGCGGAACCAGTCGAGCAAGGACCACATGGGCGGTATCGGGTTGGTCATGTTGTAGGCGTCTGAGCGTGCATCTGCAGCGGTGTTTGAATAGGTTTGCTGCTCGTGTTGGGAAGGAGCTAGGGTCATTGGCATGGCCGTCGGCTCATACCCTTGACATGAATGAGACAGCGATCTGGAAAGATCCAGATGTATCGACACTTACCTACCCACGCTTTTAGCATAATTGTTGATTCTGATATTCATGCCCATGTGACTGCGCGGACGTAGCGTGTTTCCGCAAGCACGCAGATACTCCCAGGAATGTGGTTAGGCAACGACGTCACATGCTCAGCCCCAACTCCGCGGCTGAGACCCGCGGCGCCTGTGTAACAACAGTGAGTTCCCATTGGGCAGGCGCGGCTGACCACCTATCCCCCAGGCAAGTAAAGGTGACTGCGTCTATCCGTAGTTAGCCTTGTTTCCGTTTCCGTCGCTGCCTCTCGCTCTTACTGACCTTCTTTCCACACCTCATCGCAACATCAGAAGTGCCAGCGTTATTCTTCCGTCACTGCGCCGCTCGCTACACGGCAGCTTGCACATGAGCAGCGTTTGCGGTTTGCGGCACGTGCTGGGGTGAGCGTGGTCCAGCCTCGCATTCCGCGTATTTGTGCGAGCATTGTTTTACCCAATCGTTATCAACACTCAACTTGCTTGCAGCATACAGTGTCTCGTTTCGAACGTATCTGACGACGGGAAATCCGTGACGACCTCCCGGCCTAGTTTCCAGCCCGCTGCTGTCACCCAAGGATCTACGGAATACCTCCAGGCTCTTTGCTTATTGTGAGAGTTTAATACGATGGCGGAAGGAGACCCGATCGACGCAGACAGGGACGACTCCGATGACGGGTCCGCCATGCATACAACGAGCCCTGTCAATCCTATGGAAGAAGCAGACAAGGACGATACAAGGATCGCAGACTACCAGCCCGAGACGCCGTCGAACTATGTTACCCTAGACACCTTCGCGAAACTCACAAATCACCTCAGGACACGCAGATGCCGCGTATGCAACGACCTGTTCTTTTCATCGGAACTGGATGTTCGGAACCTGTTTCAAGACTGGGCGGACGGTACAGTGGATCAGTTATCCTGCAATCTCAGATGCAGTAAATGCAACACGCGCTCATGCATCGCATGCGAGCCAGTCGCCTTCACAAAGTCATCCAAGGTCGGGTTTGCCTCACAAAACGTGTCATGGTGTTGTGTGGGTGGGCGGTTATTCCTGATATGGGCACTCCTCTGTGGATTCGATCGGCGCATCTGGGAGTCCAGAAATCTCGGGAACATATCCAAGCAAGTCAAGCCGGAGCCTAAATCAAAGGCCATGAAGATCCAGAAGTCTACCCGCGGCGGAGGGTTAAATACAGGTCCCTTGGGCGGTCACAGATTTTCGAGAGAATCCATGCCTAGTGGTAAGGGCTACGGCGGGCATACCTCGGGCTCCAGTGGACATGATCACGATATGTACGACGACGACACCTCTGAAGACGATGGCGAAGCCGGATATGATATCAACGGTTTGCCTTTCAATGTTGAAGCACTGGAAGACATGTATGGGAAAGCACCAACCCCGAACGGCTTTGAACACATTATGAACTCGATGAAGCCCATACCCAACAAACCCAAACCCAAGAATGCGATGGGCAGAAAAGATGACTTCATGTCAAAGGCGCGGATTACACAGAAAAAAGAAGACATGTTCAGCATAACTGTCCTGTATTGCTTGACCGATCTGCTTCCGTCTCTCGAGCGGGAGGCCTGCTTCGATTTCGATCCTCCCGGTGCCATCTTGGAAATGCTCAACAACAGCAAGATCCTCCCATACTGCGCAGAGCTTCTACGCAACGACTCGTTGGTCGATGTTACCAACCGCAAATACCTCTATCAGGCGCTGTTCTCCTTCCTGACTATGGTTGGCTCGCATTCCAGTACGAAGGCAGCGCTCTTTGGCCCTCGATATGCGCGACCTGAGACAATAGACTTGCTCACACTCTCTTTCAATGACGGGGTACCCGACGCAAAGGAGAGGGTGACCACTCTAGCCGAATGTCTACGAAACCTCACTACTCAGAGCTCACTGATGCTACAGAGCTTCAATACGAACCCGAAAGCTTTCGAGGATGACGAGGACCTGACGATGCTTTACGTATGCGACCACATTGCCATCTTTACCAAATTCATTCAAACGCATATGATCACAGCGACCGATAGCGTAGGCGGCAAGGCGACCGTCGTGGTACCTGATGGCCTCGGTTTGAGGGATGTAGACTCCACGCTGATGTCAGAAACTCATTACTATTGGAACACAGCGAAGGGCTTCATGGACTCCCAGCCGGGAAGGTTCAAGCGGTTGATCACAGAGATTACGACGCTGCAAACGGGCCTGCCACCGGGCATCTTCGTACGCTATTGCGAGGATAGGCCCGATATCCTCAAGTGTGTCATTGTCGGACCTGCTGATACACCGTATGAAAATGGCCTCTTCGAATTCGACATCTTCTGCGGCCAGATGTTTCCGAACCTCCCTCCGGAGGTCAACTTTAAGGGAACAGCGGGCGGTCGTCTAAACATCAACCCAAATCTTTACGCAGACGGTAAAGTTTGCTTATCTTTACTTGGTACATGGTCTGGAGAGCCATGGAATTCTGGGGAGTCGACATTGCTACAAGTATTGATCTCCATACAAGCAATGATACTGTGCGAGGAGCCATGGTACAACGAACCAGGAAGGGAAGCGGGCTATACTCGCAGCCCCAACGGGCCTTCAGCGATGTACAACAGAAAGATCCGTGACCATACCGTACGCACTGCCATTCTAGCTTGGCTCGATGAACCGCCACCACTTTGGAAAGACGTTGTCGATTTCCACTTCAAACAGCAAGGCAATACCATTCTCAGTACAGTGGAAGAGTGGGCCAAAGAGAGGATGGGTGAATCTAATAAATCGGCTACTGAGCGAATGATCGAAGAGGAACTGTACGCCTACGACGAGGCTCTTGCTGACACCATGACTGCTCGTCGCCCGGTTCCAGAAGCAAGCGATTTGGGCTCCATGCTACCACAGCTGCAAACTGCATTGAGAACATATGGCGCTACATTCATAGTCAAATACGTCGCTCCTCCTGCCCCAAAACGGAAGTCCCTAAAGGCAAGCCATTTCGAGTCCAAGTTTTCGCCTTACCCACCTGGACCGGGGGGTCCCACAACGAGCTCATCGGAAGCACCGACGGGGTCTTCTATGGCAAGTTCGTCAGAAGCACCAACGTGGGCTTCAGTGGCAAAATCCTCGCCAGCCCAGACAGACACTCAATCCATGTGGGACTATCTGGATGATTTCGGTGAAGCCATGGACAATCAAAATCTGCAGAATGCTCCACGCGGAGACTTCCACCGCGGCCGTGGCCAACATCGTGGAGGCTTCGGTAGGGGCCAGACAACTGCCGATAGAAACGGACCTGCCGTGGAGGGTTCTGCTGAAGCTCCTCGCTATGAACTTAGGTCGTCTACACGTGGTCGCGGCAGCAGCGATGAACCTAGTACTCGTGGTGGACAGAGCAGTTCCAGTACCGTTCACCCACCTTACAACAGCAACACCATGAACTTTATACGCGGAAGGGGTGGAGCTTCTCATAGCGTCCAAGGCTTCGGTCGAGGGGGATTTGGCCGTGGGGGTCGTGGTAGTGGCTTGGATGGTTCCGCTCCTGTGTTCCCTCCTCCACCTCCCGCCGGCCCTCTTCCGCCCGTTGGGTTCTACAATGTCGGCCGCGGTCGAGGTGGACCTCCTCCAAGTGATAACTTCACCATGGGAGATGCGCCGACATGGGTTCGCGGGGGTGGACGCGGTCGTGGTAGAGGAGGCGGACGGGGTGATCGTGGAGATCGCGGTGGACGCGGACGGGGTAGGGGATGAACAGGTGCTCTGTAGACTACATCAGTATCAGGACGAAAGTTAGCAAAACCTTATCGCAATGTGAGCGTCTAGCTTGTTCGCTTCTATCGTCCTCTGTAGGTGATTGTTCATTGTGTCTTTGAATGGTGTGATGGTTGCGAAAGGTCCTTGCTCAACGCGTTGCTCCATCGCGAAGCAGATATGCATCGAAAGAGGCAGTATGTCAGCGAAGGCATTCATCGTGTCCTGAACAAGTACTTCAAAGGTCCACTTCGAAACTGTGGACGAGATGAAATGATACGCGGTAGATGCACCGCGATGTAAAACAGAAAAAACAATCTACGCGTCGAAACCCAGAATCTCGGTGTTATCGGAGATAAATCACATTCCGTCATCGCCCATCGAGCCACAGCATCGCGACGCGACGACCTAGGAACTTCCCCGCTCATGCTACCTCGCGCCGAAACCGCCTAGCTACCGCGATCATGGGTCAAGGAGCATCCCACGATACCCCGCAACTGACGCTGGGTAAGTACACGCAGTCCACTACTTCCCATTCTACACCCGCCGCTACCCAGTCGCCGCCTAAACACTCCAACTAACGAAACCCCAGAGCAACTCTCCCAAACCATCGCCCAACGCTTCGCGTCAAAAAGTTTCTCACCGCTCGAACTCTACTGCTTCAACTCCGTCTTCCGCTCCCTCGCCGACACCGAATCCGGCGTACAATACTGGAGCGAAAGCACACTATGTCGTTTCCTCGAACTGCCGGATGCGCTGGGCGTGGGCTCTGTTGTCTTTCAGATGGCTAGCTACCTTGGCGCGTTCCCGCTTCCGAGTCAGGCCCCGGCTATACTTACGCAAGAGGCGTTGCTGAAGGTTGTTACGATATTGACGGAGAGGTATGGCGCTGTGCTTAAGAAGAGGGGAAAGGAGATTTGGTTGAGAGAGGTTTATAGGAGTTTGGCGATTTATGATAAGGGGATTCGGTCGAGTTTAGAGGATAAGGAGAAAGAGGAGGTTGAAAATAAAGATAAGAAGGTGGAGGGCGGGAGCAGTAATGTGGGGTGGGCGATTGATGCGCCGGATGAGGGGGAAGAAGGAGAAGACGAGGATGATGATGAGTTGGTGCTGGCTGCGTTGGACTCTATGGATGCGATCGACGCGTTTAAGCATGGGGAACAGACGAACGTTCATCATTCGATTATACCGACGGACAACTTCCTCAAGCTGGTGGAGCTGCTGCTGCTCATTGCGCCGATCGACGCCCAGCAAAGTCTCTCGTCACTGGCACCGGATCTCTCAGATAAGCGGGTCGAGAATTTACGGCAGGCGGCGCATGTCATACTGTCGTCTTTCAATGTCGAGAACCATCCGGGTGTCACGTATCGCACATTCAACACTGTCGTCTCAACAACGATGCCCTACTTGTTCAACGGCCTCAACCCACTGTTCGAGCACTTCCTCTTCGCGAAGGACTTCGATCTATCCAAAAAGAAGGCAGGCCCTGGCTCTCCCACTCAAGAGAGCAAACCTGTGATACCTCCGCCGAAAGCAGAACTGGAGCCAGTCTTACGAGAGCCGGGGGAAATTTTGAACTTGACTACACTCAGCCAACTCTCGTTCTTCATCAAGGGCAGCAATCTCTTCCGCAGACTACGTCCACTATACAGCGGCAACACCCACGGCTTCAGCATGGGCTCCTTTGAAAAGCAAGTCTTCAACTGGCGCGCGCCTACTATCCTCCTCGTAAAAGGCCGTCTCCTCCCCACAACGCCCTCCAGCACACGCGAACGCGCCTTACAAGACATGCTCCCACCCAAGCGCCACCCCTCCAGCATAACCTCCAGCGCGCCCAACCAAACCCTCATCTACGGCGCCTACATCTCGTCGCAGTGGAAACACACAGGCAAAACCTGTTTCGGCGACTCGTCAACCCAGCTCTTCCAACTCTCCCCCACCCACGACATCTTCCCCGCCTCCGCCTTCAGCAAAGACTACACCTACTTCTCCAAATCGCCCACCCACCCCGCCGGCCTCGGCCTCGGCACCCCCATCCCCACGCAAACCGCCTCCTCCACACAGTTCTCGCACTCGCCCTTCCGGCCGGGCCCCGTCTCCCTGCACCTCGATGACGCGCTCGAATTCGGCATCTTCACGCATCTGTCGGAGGGCGGGGGCTCGTTTCATCCGAGCAAGCTGCCTGGCAGGAAGAAGAAGGATTGGCAGGATCGCTTTGAGATTGAGTGTCTGGAGGTGTGGGGGTGTGGTGGGGATGAGGTTGCGGAACAGCAGAGGAGGGAGTGGGCGTGGCAGGAGAGGGAGGCGGAGGCGAGAAGGAGGGTTAATCTGGGGACGGGGGATGCGGAGATGGATAGGGAGTTGTTGAAGATGGCGGGGATTATTTCGGGGGATAGGAGTGGGGGGAGTATGGGATGAGGTGAGTTGCGTGTGGAAATGGAGATGTAGATGGGTGGTTGTAGGGCGAGGGTGGGTTACGATGTAATGATATACACGAGTATTATGGCTTCGAGGTTATCCTGCAAGTGCAGTCGAGTTCCATTTGTTGCAATAGCTGAGTGTCCTATCCCAATCTCGTAGTGCCGTGTTAAACGCCTGTGATGCCTTGTTATGCATACATATGATACAGCTCCTCCTCTTTCTCACATCATTCTCCACAAACTCGGCGATCACCCCCAAAGATGCTCTCTCGTGTCTTCGTGTGTCCGAAAGCTCTCTATCCTTGCCTGCACAATATTAGCACCCGCCAAACCCGTCTCCATCCCCATCTCCAAGCCAAACTCACCTCTGCTTGTGCTTCGGATTCTTCGAGCAAATAATATACACATATCGTCCCTTCTTCCTCCTCACACTCTTACACCCATCACACAGCTTCTTGACTGAACTCCGCACTTTCATGCCGCGCGTTTGTATCCTTCCTCCCATGCTCAGGTTGTTGAAACTGGAAACGAGGTCGCGGATGCCCGTGTTGGGCGCAGAGCGAAAGGCGGATAGTGTGGGGCGTACACAGGAACATGTTGGTGTGTGGATGTGTTGGGTGCGTGTGCGGAGCGTGCTGCGCAGGGTGCGGAAGGTGGACGGCCGCCGGATGGGCAGGGTGAGGGCGCGGGATAGCATTGTGTGGTCTTGGGGGTGGGTTCGGGCCAGACGCGGCGGGGAGGGTATGCGATGGCGGGAGGTGGGCGGCGTGTAACTATGGGGATAGGTTGATGATGACGGTAGTGGTGTTGCGGCGGAAAATCTATGCCAAGACGCTAGTGGGGTCGGGGAAGTCGCGCTGCGATGGACGTGTCTTCTAACTAAACTTCACAACCTTTCTAATTTTCGCGCTCGAGCCTGAGGGGTCTTTTCACGAGCCCCGACCTTTTTCAATGGTAGTCATCGCTTATGACGCATACTCGAATTGCATCTAGGTCTTATCACGCGTCGGAGAAGATGCACATCATACCCAGATTGAGCGCACTCAAAGCCTACCTCTCTATCTGCGGACCAGCTACCCACTGGATCGTTCGATGATCTTCACTCATACTGTGGATCTAGGATAGGTGATACTGATGTTTCTGTGGAAAGAACCAAACTGTCGTACAATATGGTCGCATTTCTCGGTCCAGGGTCAGTTAGCTTCGTCAGGTGATGTGCTGCTGCCTCCAGGTTTGGCAACATAAAAGTCTGCCATACTCCCTTCCCTCATCTCCATCAGATCTTACGAAGCTTCCAAAATCTTCTCCTTTTATTTCATACTAATATTATGACAACTATATCACCCGCCCCCAGGATCGTGGAACCGGTCGGTCAGCAGCAAAGCCCCCTCTGCCGCCTGCCTCGCGAGCTGCGCGATGAGATCTACGACTACTACGCCTACGATGAGGATGGCTTAGCATACGACTACCCTTCCAAGACGCTGAAGTATGCCAGTGGCGCAGAGCTCAACTTGCCGCTTACTTGCAAGATGGTAGCTAATGAGATGAAGGGCACCCATCTACGTCTGAATACCATCACATTCATTCCTTGCTGCTTGGAGAGAGACGAGGACGCCTTTCGTGGATTACGCTCGCTGTCAGCTCGATTTGAGCATCTACTACATTGTGCTCGGCGTACTAAGCTTATCATGCTGCGCCACGCCGTCGAGTGTGTCACAGACGACATGATCGCTCAAGTCATTGAAGCTTGTCCAGGTATGAGCGGTGTTTTCCGGGCAGTCATTCACTCCTTAACAGGGAACCCTCGGATATGGGATCTGAACCGGACCATCAAACTTCCTCGGGATGAATTTACGGCGTCTTTCTGTGAAGCCGTACAGCTATGCCTCAATCTCATCTCCAGCGACCCCAGATTTGAGGATCTCGTGTCTCAGGCATTTGAACCATCGGATCGTCACCCTCGCCACTACCCTCACTTTGGAAAGGACTCGCACCAGCAGATTCTGGATTGGCAGCCTGACCCCTGGCTCATCCCGACGGCAGAGGAACTATCCCGGATTGAGCAACTGTTGATACCACAAAGCCAAGAAGAAGGGGATTGGGCAAGGCAGCACTCCCACGTAAAGCTCTATTTTTCCGCCACTGCCATTTGTGCTGCAACCCTTGGGAGACTTCCGTCAAACGTCCGCAAGCATGTAAGATCTATCTTCCTACGCGAAAGTTGCAGAGCCGTTAGTAATCCTGACGCACATGCTGAGGGGTTGATACCTTTTTGCAAGGAAAATCTGCGACTGCGCATCCTGTACATGGCGGGATTGGCGACTAATCTCGCCCCATCTTTCTGGGAGCACTTTCGACCAGCGGAATATACTTATGTCAATGCATTGGCATCAAGGTACTTTTACTGTCGAATTCTCGTGGATTGGTTAACACGTACGGCTGACCTCCACCGGCGTGGTATGCCAAACGAATCGTTCACAGCCACACTTGACGTGCGTTCCCAAGAGGCTTTTCGTCTATGGAGATACGTCGAGAGAGCAGCAGCAGTAGCCCTGCATCTAGTAGAGAGGCTTGGTCCCC